TAGAAGCGCCTTTCCCTTTCACCGCCGATTAATCGCAGCAGTCGAGTCTGATGCCTTCTGACACACAGCGGTGGTTTTCTCTCTCCACCTTTACCAATGCGAATGCCCTCATCATCACCCTTTTAATTAATTTGCCAATCGCAGACACCCTGGCTACGATTGCATTGACTCACAGTGACAAGTCTCGGACCAATTCCATCCCCGGCTCTTTTCAATTGGCAAAGTGTCATGGGGAGCGGAGCGGAGTGGAGCAGAGCGCAGCTGAAGGACAACCGTCACTGCGGCGACTTGAGGTCACCGAGTTGTGCATGACACGGCAAAGAGAACATCACATCCCCACAACCATGTGGTTCAGGAGGAGTAGTTATTGACGAATGCCATTTGTGGTACACTCATACTAGTGAAACAATTGTAAGGATACCATGGGATTCATAACCCACAATAGTCACGGAGACGAAGTTGCTCAGAAAGCAAAGAATGTCTGAAAGTGTCCACAAGAGGAGTGGAAAGGTGACGAGGCAATGCCGCAACAATCACATGGATTTACAGACATCCGACGATCGAGAGGATGATGGAGTGATTGAGGGAGCAAAAACCTGAACTACGGAACTGATGCAGAGATATTAAATGAATTGATGAATGGATGGATGGAAAAGTTGTTGGACTTTGTAGGTAGATGAAGAGGGTGATGAATGATTGACCCGCCATCGCGTTGGTGGATTGCTCCCTGCAACCGACATCATAGCGGCGACAAGCATCAACTAATCCCTTGTGCTACATGTGGAGAGGAGAGCTAAGGGGGTACTGAGGAAAGAGAGTAGTCTCACAGAAGACTGGAAAAGGTTACAAATTACGTGAGATTGTGTTTGTTTAGGTAGTTGAGAGTGGCCAGGATATCAGCATTCCCGAGGATGTTGCACATTGCGTCAAGACCTGCTGACAAAATGGTGGCTTCGTGGAATTGGCACATACAGGTGGCTTTGGGAGGCAGGCAAGGGGTAATGCGCGTTTCCACGCACTTCGTTAGCCTTGCTCTTCGGTTGTAAATGATCAAGTGAGAACAGATTCGCGGCATGGTATTGAAGAGATTGTGATCCTAACCTGGTAACTGAATTTCGAATGTGTGAGTTTGTGGTTGTGAGGCCTCTTCACCATCCTGTCTGCCCCCTGGTAATGCGCATGTTTTGCCACAAGAAATGAGCTAGCTACTAATTCTAGGAGCACTCTGTGAGGCACTGCACCACAGACGTACATACGCTACATCCAGTTCAACACTTTCGAGGAAAATGACTGACACTGCTTTCACATCATGGTTGCAGGTCTCGCACTACTTCAAAGCCATGCAGGCATGCAACAGGTCTCTTGGAATAGGCCGGAAAGGTCAAGCTTGGCTAGACATCAGTCAGTGTGTATGTGGAAGCAAAATGGGGTTGGTTGAAGAGAGGCACAAAATACAACATGTTGAAATAAGTAACACAGATTCTACAAAGGTCTTACTCGCCGATTGACTTAAGTGAAGCAACAATGTTGTTCGACTGGCTCAGCAGCACGCAAACGCCCCTGTCATGGTAGAAATCGCCAATCCTTTGAACCGCACACACGATGTCATCATTGCCTGCTCTCCCAACTTAATGACGAGCTGAGGTGTCACCACTGAAAATGCCATGTTCAAGTGGCTAACATGCTTCAAGCGTGAACTGACACTAACCAGGCAAAGGGGTAGATTCGAGTGTGTCCGGGAAAAAGTCATTCCTCTCACAACTCCGGGTGGTATATTGTCCTTCTGCATTTCTCTTTCACTTGTCCACCCATTCACCCACACATTCATTCAACCGCTTCCACTCTGCGTAGCTATGTTCCTCTTGGTGGTAATTTGCGTTCGCCTACAGTCATTCATTTTCATATTTGGCACTCGTTCGTT